ATGGATGTCAATGGAGGAGTGGCTTTACTAAGCTGAATAAACAGCATTTTAGAGGAAACAGCTTATCAATTAATGAATTGACAGCCTATCAGCTAATCTTCAACATGTTTTACACTAAACAATACTTTTTGATTGAACTATTTTTAGAGTTTACTCTGAAAAAAATGCAGTTTTATAAGACAAATCACTAGGCGCGTTTCCATTACCCTTCAAATTGTGCAAATTGAAATTGCGAATTGAAAATATGCCTAATGGAAACGGGTCAATTTCGCAAAAACGCCCATATATCGCAAAAAAGTTTTTACGCTCACATGAGGTGGTTTTTCAGGCAATGCGAAAAAGGAATAATTTGCAAAACTGCAATGGAAACGGCTTTTTCGCATTTACAGGTCACATGGCGTATGTAAAAAGTCATATGATCATTCTTCAATGTACTATAACCTCCAATAAACACATCATGTTTGGCCGCTCTCCAGTATAAGGAGCTTTCCCTACCATTAATGCTTAGAGAATTTAGACTGCACACGTACTGAAGCTGATTGCGGCCACAATGCTTGTGTTTATTCCAGAATCCAGCCGCGCCACGCACGTTTCTGAAGCGGCTCTCTGTGCTGCTTCTGTAAATATCGATTATACGCCTCCTTTGAATAAATATAGCCAAAATCCATTGCCATGACTTATCGCGAGAGGCAAAAGGTTGCGTTTTAGTAGCATAACATTGGTTAATGGAAACGACATCATTTCGCAATACTTTTTTATCGACATTTATAAAATATCGCCAAAGTTTTGGGCAAATCTGTGATGGAAACGCGCCTACTGACTTTTTGTGACAGGTGCGATTCAGCTTACGGCACTTCTCATTTATTTCTAAGGTATCCGTAAATGGCGATTGAGTGTCCAACAACTCTGACTAAAATTTAATGACGTCAAGGCTGTAAATGCGGTCGCACACCTGACGAGAAGCGCAGCGCCAAGCTGCGTCTAGAGCAAATCTACAACAAGTACAACACGACGTAGCTGGACAGACTCCGAACGGTGCCGCCGGTGTGCGTACACTCATAGAAAACAATGTGTTTGAATTTTAAAGACGTGGTGTGATGCGTTGTGAAACGACGCTGCGCTTCTCATCCGGTGTGTGACCGCCTTAATGCGATTGGTTATTAAGGCACACATGATCCAAGTTGACCATTACGCTTTCTCCAATAGTAAGTAATACAGACCCACTCCTTGCCAGAATTTATACAACAGTTCTTTCTGGTCCTCAGAACAGTTCTTTTTGTGTCACGGAATGTAGTTTTAAGAGTTTTTTTATGCGATAATGTACTTGTTTTTACTTAAAATATGCGGTTTGTTTATAAAGATAACATCTGTTTGAAAATTTGCTTTAACGTTTTCGGAGATGTGAGTTCCAGGGCATCAGCGGCCTTTCAGCACTCATGAACCCGCCGAGAGCAGCCTCACCTCGGCCAAATCTTCTGGAATTTGCCGCTGGCTCTGATGTCTCTATAGTGGTTAAACATGAGATATAATTTGTTTGGGGTAAATCTAACGGGTCGTATTTGGTCTCATTAATCTATTATTTGTTCCAGAGCAAATAGTTTTAGCAGAAGGCAAAATTTCATCACGTTATATTTTATGTAAATTCAATGCTGTGTATCAGAGCGCTGCCTTTGTACTTTTGACTGAATTGTCTAGCAACTTTTATGATGGCTGTTGTTGATGTTTATTAAATAGTATTATTCAGTAAATCATATTTTATATATATAATAGTTATGTCATGACAACTCTCGGGTGGATTGGCATGGTAATGTACATGACAATGTTAACTTATTTGGTCTTGGCGGATTAGATCTGCTACGCTGCTGCTGCTGCGGCAGAGCAAGTACTGAAACTTGCTACTGCCAATACATCCACAACATGCTGCTGTGAGCATGTAAGAAATATTGCTGCTGCAAATATAACATACATGAAATAACCCCCATATAGCGTACATTAATCACCTCGTAGCAGATCTTTACAGGTGGAGCTGGGGAAGGTGGAGGGTTTCTGAAGCAAGCTGCAACTGCTACGGCAAGCACAAGTGATATATTTGAATGTTGAACAGCGACCTCATTGGCTAACGATACAGGAGAGAACCAATCAGCTGTGTCATGTGATAATGATGTCATTAGGTCAGATTGAGTTAGACCTATTGGACTGTGCCATCTAGAGTTTCATGCCATAACTCTGTATTAGTATTTAGTATTGGGAAACGGTGTGTGTTCATGATGGTGATTTTAGTTACATTGTCCGCTATTAGATGACGACAAGAGACAGTTATTATGAGTGAGTCAGCAGTAAAGACTTTTATATTGAAAGAGACGGAAGTTATTTTTATTTTCTACAACAACTTGTAAGACGCAGTTAACAAATGCACTGAGCAGCACTGTCATCGGAAATCACCCTTAACAGATGAAAGGACAGTACGACAAAGATATTGCTTTCCTCAGCGGATATTCAAACTGATGTTTTATTGTGAATATGAGATTGAGCTGAAGAATGAATGCTGTATCAGATGCAGGTAATCACACTCGCTCAGTCCATCTCTCTCTCTCTACTCGACTCCACATAATACTGCTTTTAATACAGTAATACAATAACCTTTTAATGAAGCAACTCAGCGTTCCTTCGTTACTAGTTCCAAAGTGATGTTTTCAAATTAGTAATGGATCTTGAGCTCAGCTGTTAAACTGTCAAACTGAGATTGAATCTGTGGCAGAAGGAAGTAGTTCCACACATAAGAGGGTTTTTAAAGACACTCCATTGTTGTTTCATATTCATTTATACACTCGTGCCGTCGAACTGTTGTATAAACGCAATATCACAATTGTAGCCGTGATATATGGCTGTATATCGGCACACTGTGATTACCTACGGTGATTACCTTCTACGGCCGAATCACAGCAGTGCCAATATACAGCCATATCTCACGTCTACTTCTAGTTTCATGCATTCTTTTTTTTTATCAACATTTGAATGTGTGTAGGTTTCATTTAAAAAGCAACATTTTGAACAAAAAGCTGAGAAAATGTTTTTGTCAAAGACTACGTCTGGATCTGTGATGAATACACAGATGAAACACAGATCCAAAGCACTTCCTGAGTTGGCATTTCATTCGGTAAGGTTAGGCAGTTTTGATTTATGTGCTGTTTAATGTTTGATGATGGCGTTATTTTACATAGGCCTATGCATCTGCTTACATAGTCGCTTGTTTCTGCTTCTTCTTCACTTGTTTTAATCCAGAGATTTCAGTACTCTTTCAGAAGATTTGCGTCGCGGCTTGGGCAACTGACAGATCGCACACCGGATACATTGCATTCAATTGAAGCAGAATCATCCAAAGCATTTAATCTAATCACCAAACATGCAGAGTTCACTTCAGCCGGTCGACAGCTAGTCAGTACTCAACGTAGCTCCCGGACTACTCTGCACTGGAAGAGAATGACTTCCTGTCTATCGGTAATAGTGGAAAGGCGGCTTTAGAATGAGTCACAACCTCTCATCTCGCTGCGTCCCGTCCCTCGGCTGTGTCTCAGTTGCCCCCTCCTTCTCTGCCCCGCACTTGTCTTATTATTGCCCCAGAGACGAAGTCTCTTGACATTCACACGTGGCCTGACCTTTTTTGGGACAGTTTCCAATTAAATCTTGTCAGGTTCTTGTCTGTACAAAGCAGCCTGAGATGGCCTTAGCCTGCCTAACTTCACAGAGATACACTACTTTTCGAGTGGAGGTGACAGAGCGTGTTGTTGGCGACTCGTGGTGACTCATCGAGTACGGCAGAAGGACGTTTTCTCGTGGAGATAATTGCGTTTTTCTCACCTGTGCCGTTTATTTTGCAGGCCTTCAAAAGTGCCATGATGAGCTCATACTGGTGTGCGGGGAAGGGTGATGTCATCGAGAACTGGTGCCGCTGTGACCTGACGGCGCTTGGCAAAGACGGGCTTCCCAACTGTAGCCCCCTGCGGCGGCCCGTGTAAGTTACCCCCACCTACAAGCATCTTTATGCAATACTTGATTCCTGGCACCTCTTTTTTGGCAGAATATTAAGGCATCCTAGACTTAGGCAAGACATATGCTGCTGCCAAATATGCCTCATGTTCACTGCCAAATTGTGAGGCAGCGTCTCATCAAGGCAATCGTTTGGTGACTCAGTCAGTATGTCCATTACATTAAATGCTGAGTCACATAATGAAATATACAAAATATTTTCAAAGAAGTCACTTCTGCTCCCCAAGGCTGCATTTATTTGATCGAAAATACAGCAAAAAGGTAATATTGTGAGATATGTTTTCTATGCAAATATATTGTGAAATGTAATTTATTCCTGTGTTCAAATATGAATTTTCAGCATCATTATTCCAGTCTTCAGTGTCACATGATCCTTCAGAAATCATTCTAATATGCTGATATGTTGCTCAAGAAACATTTCTGATTATTATCAATGTTGAAAACAGTTGTGCACATTATAGATGTCTTTACTGTCACTTTTGATCACTTTAATGCATCCTTGATGAATAAATTAATTATTTGTTTATATTAATTTAAAAAAACCAAACAATCTGCACATTTTTAAAAAGGTAGTGGGAAAAATAAAATGGACAATTTTGTGATTCAGACTATTTTCAGATTCTTTTGTGAATGGAATAAACATCACATTTCCAGCCCACAAGATCCAAACTGCCCCATGCAAATTATGTTCAGCACAGATTTTACGGCCATATTCGTGTCGTTGTCTGAAATGAGGGCAGAGAGCTTGTGTCGCTCTTGTGTCTAATTCATTCTTAGTGAATTCCTCAAGGTGTCTTAAATATTCTGCCTACTGTTTATAATAGCCTTTGCTTCAGAGTCACATCTATGGTGCCTTAAAATGCCTCCTGCTTAGGCAGCTCAGTGGGTTTTGGAACAGAGCCATTATGTCAAATCCTACTAACACATACACCCGATGCTGGCTTGTCTTTATTTTCACAGATTGAGACTGGCTCCACACCTGGAACCCTCCAGTACGATGGTTGCGCTGGAATGGGTCGATGTGGAACCCCTGATTGGCTACAAGGTTTCAGATTACGTCATTCAACACAAGCGAGTAGAGGACCTGTCAGAGGCAGAAATCTACACAGGTAAGCGCCACTCTCAGGCTTATGAACAATGTTACAGAGAAGAACGCCCGCTTCACACTGAATTGTATTAAAGTCTGTGCAAAAACAACTTCTTAAAATACAAGGGGAACTGCGTTGCTGGTCAAAAGTTTGGAATAATTAAGATTGTTTGTAAGATTGTTTGAATTCTCTTCTGCTCACGAAGCATTCATTTATTTGATAAACAGAAAAAAAACAACGTAATATTGTGAAATAACACTACTATTTAAAATAGCTGTTTTATATTTGAATATATTGTACATTTGTAATTTATTGCTGTGATCATTACTCAAATGTTATATCCATCTATGCAATACAGTGGAATACTGCAATAAGTTTAGTAGGCTATACCACCCTACCCTATTAGTCAAACATAAAAAAGCAATAAATAAATACATACATACATAAATGTAAAAAAATATATAAATATATATTTTTTTTTTATGTATGTATTTATTTATTTATTTATTTATTACGAAAGAGGATTAGGGCCAAGCAATAATAAAAAATTAAAACCATCTCGAGATTAAAGTCATTAACTTTCGAGAAAAAAATCGTTAAATTTCAAGAAAAAAGTCGAGATTAAATGTTGAGAGTAAACTCGTTAAATTTCGAGTATAAAGTCGTTAAATTGCGAGAAAAAAAGTCAAGATAAAATGTTGAGAATAAACTCATTAAATTATGACAAAAAAGTTGTTAAATTTCGAGAAAAAATCTCGTTAAAATTTGGAGAAAAAAGTCGAAATAAAATGTTGAGAATAAACTCATTAAATTACGAGAAAAAAGTCGTTAAATTGCGAGAAAAAAACTCGTTAAATACTCGTTAAGCAATTGATTTTCACTTTTCCGATGTGATATGTGATGAGAAAAGGAAGAAAAGTGAGTTTGGCAAAAAACAGACTCGAACCCAGTCGATCGTATCAGCGCTACTCCCCAGTGCATTACTCTCTAACCCACCCCACTGCAGACACTAAACAACGCAGTCCAATGAGATGAAATGAACATGACACAAGTGTGTTTATTCTCGACTTTTTTCACGTGTTTTTCTCGTAATTTAATGAGATTATTCACAACATTTTATTTCAACTTTTTTCTCGAAATTGAACAAGTTTTTTTCTTGAAATGTAACGACTTTTTTCTTGTAATACGAGAAAAAAGTCGTTAAATTGCGAGAAAAAAACTCGTTAAATACTCGTTAAGCAATTGATTTTCACTTTTCCGATGTGATATGTGATGAGAAAAGGAAGAAAAGTGAGTTTGGCAAAAAACAGACTCGAACCCAGTCGATCGTATCAGCGCTACTCCCCAGTGCATTACTCTCTAACCCACCCCACTGCAGACACTAAACAACGCAGTCCAATGAGATGAAATGAACATGACACAAGTGTGTTTATTCTCGACTTTTTTCACGTGTTTTTCTCGTAATTTAATGAGATTATTCACAACATTTTATTTCAACTTTTTTCTCGAAATTGAACAAGTTTTTTTCTTGAAATGTAACGACTTTTTTCTTGTAATTTAATGAGTTTATTCTCAACATTTTATCTCAACTATTTTTCCTCGCAATTTGATGACTTTTTTCTCTTAATTTAATACGTTTATTCTCACCATTTTATTTCGACTTTTTTTCTCGAAATTTAACGATTTTTTTCTTGAAACATAATGACTTTATTCTCGAGATGGTTTTATTTTTTTATTATTGCTTGGCCCTAATCCTCTTTCTTTCTTTCTTTCTTTCTTTCTTTATCATCTATCTATCTATCTATCTATCTATCTTTCTTTCTTTCTTTATCATCTATCTATCTATCTATCTATTATTTTATTCTATCCTCATTGCGGGCGGAGCCCCCCTAAAATGAAAATCCTAGAATTGCCCCTGATTTGAATATATTGTAAATTTGTAATTTATTGCTGTGATCAAAACTGAATTTTCAGCATCATTACTCCAGGCTTCAGTGTCACATGATCCTTCAGAAATCATCCTAATATGCTGATTTGCTGCTCAATAAACACTTTTGGTTATTTTCAATGTTAAAAACAGTTTTTGCTGCTTAATATTTGTGTCAAAACTGATACATTTCCATTCAAAAATGTTGGTAAAAATTTAACAAAGATGTGACAGTAAAGACATTTTAATGTTACAAAAAAATTATATTCAAAATGAATGCTGTTCTTTTGAACTTTCTATTTATCAAAGGATCCTGAAAAAAAAAAAACTATAAAATAAAATAATAAAAATAAAATAATAAAAATAAAATAATAATACAATTATAAATTAAATAATAAATTAAATTAAAAAAATGAATCTACAGCTTTGCCATCACAGGAATTAATTGCATTTTAAAATATATTTAAATAGAAAATAATTATTTCAGTTTAGTTTACAATATTACTTTTTTATTACTTTTATTACTTTTTTTTTACTACTTTTCCCTTGTATTTTAATCAAATAAATACAGCCTGGTGAGCAGAAGCGACTTCTTTCAAAAGCATTAAAAAATCTAAATTATTCTAAACTTTTGACCAGTAGGGTACATGAGTTTATTGATGTGAAAAATACAGTTAATTTCTTGGCATTATGTGTTTTTCTACTCAACCTGACAGTGTGTTGTGCATAGAAGGATTTTTCCCCCCCTTAATTTTCACTATTTCTTTTGGCCTAATGGACCTTGTCCAATCTTACGAGATGCTTCCAATCATTTAGATGTGAATGTACCATTCTTATGCCTGTGATCAATTTAGAAATCTAATTTCCCAGTGCTGGGAAATTGCAGTTCAGTCTGGGCTCTGCAGTGATGTTGTCCTCGTAGCCTGCGGTCAGAGTCTGAATACATAACTGATTGGCTTGTTGATCTGGTCAAATCTAGTTAAGCTTCCATGGCACTACGATTTCAGGGTTACAGGAGCAGAGGGAGATGAAGACGAGATACTAACAGTCTGTGTGACTGGCAGTGACCTGTAGCTGTCTGTCCGAGTCATGGCTTGTGAGTCAGAGTTTAGGTGACAGGAATCTAATAAAAGAGGAGAGATGAAATGTTAAGGTTGAACAGGCCGGGTTTAGTCATCGCAAGCAATCCATCCAGCAGAAGGAGGAGTGCCGATGAGTGAAAGCAGAGGATGAAGACAATTCCTGGCAGGAGGACAGATGGTGTGACGTCTTTGATTCTGATCAGTTAGAGAGACTGACTGCAGGATTACACCCTCCAGCGGCCCAAAACGCTGACCTGAGATCAGCTGGTGGTCTCGGGTTGTGTTGGTCATGTGAGGCTGTTTTTACATGTAGTTCAACTGCTTGGTCCGAAACAGAGTTTGATTGTCCCATTGTCCAATTTGGGTCTGAACCGTGCGTTCAAACATTCGAACAATAAAATAAATGTACGTGTATTTATAAAGCACTTTTAAAAACAACACATGTTGTACCAAAGTGCTGTGCAATTAATAAAACTGTTATATAAATGAAACATTATAAATTAAGAATAACAGACTGTTAAAATATCTGTGCATATTAAGTGCAGCAAGACTTTGAAATATAAAGTATGCATGTTGTGTGTGTCTCTGCGTGAATTAGCGATGCAAGTTTTTCAAAGGTCTTCATGACAACAAAATAAAAGTTTAACTTGAAGAAATTGTGACAGAAATATATTGCTATTGTACAGTAGAATGCACTTCTCATTGGAGTAGTAGTAGTAGTAATAATAATAATAATAATAATATTTTTTTTTCATTTGATTGTCAGCATTTTTGATAATATATTTGTATAAAATCATAAATCCAGAAAAATTAAAGCAAACAATATAAAAAAATAAAAAAATAAAGTATAAGTAAATAAATAAATGGAAAAAAAAAAATCAATCAATCATAGGGCACTATAATAATAATAATAATAATAATAATAATAATAATAATAATAATAACAACAACAACAATACGAATAATAATAATAATATTTTTTTTTCATTTGATTGTCAGCGTTTTTGATAATACATTTGTATAAAATCATAAATCCAGAAAAATTAAAGCAAACAACATAAAAAAGTAAATACATAAATGAAAAAAAATCTGTCATTCATAGGGCACTATAATAATAATAATAATAATAATTAGGGATGCACCGATACCACTTCTGGTCTCCTGTACTCGTACTCGATACTTTCATTTTTGGTACTTGCCGATACCGTGTACCGATACCAAAATGGAAAGGGTGACCTCTGATGGCTAGCAGACGGAAGTTCATGGACCAGATACGTAACAGAAACGTGCTGTGGTTTATTTTCCAAAGCCACTCGTATAATGCAAAAACACTCAAGCAAGCAAAACGTGCAACGCGTGCACGTATTTGTAAATAATAATAATAATAATAATAATAATAATAATAATAATAATAATAATAATAATAATAATAATAATAATAATAATAATAATAATAATAATAATAATAATAATAATAATAATAATAATAATAATAATAATAATAATAATAATAATAATAATAATAATAAATTAAATTAAATTGTTAATGTTTTATGAATTCAATTGATTAGACATGCTTTAATAAAACAGTTAAAACAGAATAATTAAAATGGAAAACATGGAATTTAGGAAAAATACACTCTAAAAAATGCTGGGTTAAATGCAACCCAGTGCAGGGTAAAATAGGGACAAACCCAGCAATTGGGTTGTTTTGACCCAGCGGTTGGGTTACTACCCAGAAGGTTGGGTTAAACATTTAACCCAACTGCTGGGTCAAAACAGCCCAATTGCTGGGTTTGTCCCTATTTTACCCAGCACTGGGTTGTATTTAACCCATAATTTTTTAGAGTGTACAACTAAAAAAATAAAACTGATTTAATAGGACCCTGAAATGTCATTTGTGTTAATCTTTTAATGTAAGTTTCATGATTTCAATTAATTAGACAAGTTTCTTTACTAAAATGTAATTTAACCATTAAAACAGAACTATCAAAACAAACAAAAAAAAGGAA